ATTGGAGCAGTTCTGTACTAGTAATAAAAGTGGTAAAAAGTCAGCTGCTATGAAATATCTCTTTTTTAACTGAAGTAGTACAAGCATTGACTAACAAGTGAGGACATACTGCATGTATCCAGACTCTCATATATATATATATATGTTTTATGTAAATTGACGTCCTTATGATATGTAGAAAGTTTAAGATGATTCCGACTTAAAATTTTCGAGTTGTGGCCTTTTTAAAAAATAGGCCAATTTCTGAAAAAACCCCTGTACTATAGCCCATGCTTTTTTCCAAAAAACGGCTAAAAATTGACTCCCACTTTTTATTACATTTTCTGATACATATTGATGTAGTTGTGCTGTGTAGAAAGTTTAAGTTAATTCTGACTTCAATTTTTCAAGTTATGGCCATTTTTAAAAATATACCAATTTTTGAAAAAATCCCTGTACTATTATAGCCCATGCTTTTTTTCAAAAAATGGCTAAAAAATGACCCCCAACTTTTATTACATTTTCTGATAGATATTGGTGTAGTTATGCTATGTAGAAATTTTGAATTGATTCCGATTTCAATTTTTCAAGTTATGGCCATTTTTACTTATCACATGTTTATAGGTATCCTAGTGTAATGGATGCTGTTTTTGCTGAGGAGAAGAAAGGAGACAGGAAGAAAATGATAGAAAAGTTTGTCAGTTTATTTTTACCTGGAACTTACCATGAAGTAAAGAATTTGATGTACATGTACATACATGTACTCGTACGTATACATGTATTTGTACATGTACATTAATTTAATGTACATGTAATACATGTATTGTATTGCCCTTATAACCTACAGTACATTTATACTGAGTCTACCTACATGTACATGTACATGTATTTATGTGTATTACTTAACAGTATCTTGTACATGTATATGTAAATGTGCATGTACATACATTGTACGTTAAATGCATATTAAGTTTGTATTCTCTTTTTCATCTTCCTTTTATACCTCATCAGTTATCCTTGAACAATGATGTCCTTAATTTCTATCATCACGACACTTCTGTACGACTATCGGCCGTCAAATCTCTCAAATCCACCATCATTGATGGGCGTGGCACCTCTTCCCCTCATCATAGTTATGATGACAACTTCTTCTCAAGTGTATTATTATCACGTCTTTCTGATGATGAACCAACTGTAGTGAAGGCAGTATTGGATATGGGAGAAGAAGTACGTCATTATGTAGCAGTAATATTTAATGTACTGATACTTACATTGTATTATGTAGTGTGTGTCTTTATTCTTCTACAATTAAAATTAAAATTCTTCTACATATATATACATGTACACATGTACTGTATAAGATGATTTATCGGCAAAGTATAATATTGGCGATTGGTGGCTCTATGAAGAAATCGCCAATATAACATCCGCCATTTTGTTTCAATCTGAGCTGTAATAAGCTGTCAATGTAGCTTTAATATTTAATGTACTGATACTTACATTGTATTACCGTAGGTGTAGCCAAAAATTTTTGAGGCTTAAAATTTCGTGAATAATGAAATTTATGGATAAATTTTAAATTCCGTGATAAATATTTTCGTGATTTTATTTTAATAATAATGATGGCCACGCCTTATTTAATTAAACAATGGCAGATTTAATATTTGAGACGGACGGAGTCGGACTCTTATATCAAGGGGCACCATGTCTACAAATCAGTGTGGACACCAGTGATGGAGAAGATCATCATCTTTGACCTAGGCAGTATGCTTAAAATAGCAATACAGAGTAACAGAGACATCAGCTTGACCAAGAACATGACTTGACACGAGGGCACATTTACTAGTAAGGCGTGGTTGACCACGCCTCTCAATTAATATTTATTTTCAGGGGTTTAATTTTTTTGTGATGCAAACAGTGATCACAAAAATACGAAAATTTATTCCTCGCGAAATTTTTTGGCTATGCGGTATGTAGTGTGTGTCTTTATTCTTCTACAATTACAATTAAAATAAAAATTCTTCTACATATATATACATGTACACATGTACTGTATAAGATGATTTATTGGCAAAGTATAATATTGGCGATTGGTGGTTCTATGAAGAAATCGCCAATGTAACATCTGCCATTTTGTTTCAATTTGAGCATGCTCAATGGCACGGGGCACAAAATCACCAATATAAGATCTGCCATTAACTTTTGACAGGCAAATTTGCCAAATATTACTCTTGCCAATAAATCATCTTGTACGGTACTGTGTAAAAGTTGCAGTTAAATTATACAATGTACAACGTACATGTACATGAATTAATAATTTTTAATTATTTTATAGGTTTTATTAAAGCACGTTGATAAAACTGAATTGCTAAATTCCTTGCAAAAGATATCGCATCACAAGTCACAAAACTGGTAAGCACATCACTATGCACTCAATCATACTCAATGTGTACATGTACATGTGCTTTTGTAATTACATGTATGTTGGTATTTTTTCATTACTAGTAAATATATTCATATTTTGTGTTTATAATAAATTGACATAGTTTTAAGGAAGTGGTTATGCAACTCATGAAGAGTTTACATAAACATTCTATGTACTGTACATATTTGTCCTTTATTCATGTACATGTACATGTACAATTGTACATGAAATCTCAAGCATTTACTATTAATAGTAGCAATAAAGGAAGTTCGTGTACGCAAAAATTTAGTTCACACGTATCAGTACAAGCAAAAGACATAATTGTATGTTCAACAGAAATGCATCGTTTCAGGGGAAGTTGTTTTCAGCTACGCTACGTGTACATGTACATGTATATATGGCAATATTCATGCATACATGTATATATGCATGTGTTGGATTGTTAGTACATATATCAAGTGATCTTTGTTTGCCAGTTCAGTCTTGTGATAGAAAGGATGGAAAGGAATTATACTTTTACTGGTGATTTCAGTCCTGAGGCAGTAGCAGGAGTTCTTAGTATTGAGATGGTACTAGCTCTCATAGCTAATGGTGTTGTACTAGTCATTACTATTTATCAAAGGAAGTCCTGGAAACAATCATCAACAATATTCTTTACTTCTCTCATACTGGCACACCTTGTATTGACACTCTATCTTCCTTTCTCCATTGCTGCATTAGCTGCTGGTGAGTGGGTTGTTGGTGACACTGATGAAGAGAAGCAAGGAACCTGTGGCTTTACTGCTTTTGTGATTTTATTTAGTGTTTATGTGATGCTTATGACGCTGAGTCTTGTCTCAATCGATCGGTTCCTTTCCATTGTAAAGCCTCATCTCCACAAGCGGTTCATGAGTCCAAGGGTAGCTCTGGTCCTTGTCA